GATGATGTTTAAGATCCAGAGGGTGAGATTATGTGGCCCACACACAGGCTTCCCGCTCTACTAGGAGGCTGTAAATACAGGATTAGTTCGTTTTCTGAGACGGAATATCAGTGTCTTCGTCATAACTACAGGCATCATGGACTTATTAAGAGTGATAAAAATCCCAGAGGAGTGGAAAAACTGTGGTAAGGAAAGCAGGTTCAAGGACAGAAAGATTTCCACCAGAATACTTACAAAAACCAAGATCGTCGACATTTCATGGAGTTAACAAATCAGACATAGAATTATTTTGAACTAATTTTTATACACACCTGAATTCCTAGCCTGAGACTCTGATGATCCGTTTCTTACTGAATTGAATACTGTGAACAGTTGTCTTGGCAACTGTCAAACTCCAGTAGCCGAAGCCTTGAGCAGAGACTTTTAAGACAAATCAGCAGCAAGCTCTGAGTAAGATGTAAATCACATCCTCCTTCAAAACCCTTCGAATCTGTAAGGGCCAGAGAGTAGAAAAAGCTGCTCCAGGTGAGGCTCGAACTCACAACCTCGGCATTGCTCACAAGTGTACTGCTTTATAAGTACCGCGCGCTAACCGGTTGCGCCACTGGAGCTACGGTTGGCGCCACTTTGGGGAGGTGTAAGTGAAGATACTTTTAAGATAAGACAAAATATTTTTCTTAAAGCTATTAAATAATATGAACGAAATGGCACCTTCTGATATGGCACTTCCACAAACGAGATTAAAAGCAGCAATCAAGGGTTCCCCAATGTTAGCCATTTTGGAGCAGTTTCCCCAACACAGAGATGTTAGCGGCTGAGGGCCGCGGTCATCTGTAGTTTAATTTTCCGCTCAAATCCCCACGGCTTCTCTAAAGTCAGACTGTCATTTGAAAGCGTTTGAATGAAAGAAAGTCACATTGATTCCGCAAAGGCAGGAAGCTAAGATGACTGTATGCAAAACAGACGTGTCCATCACTCTGGTCACATCACTACTCTCCAGTCAAAGTTTCCACTTAGGAGTGTGCATTCCGCCTGTAAGAACGAGTGCATTTTTATAGTTTCCGGATTCCCGCGGACTTTCCATCTCAGCCGTTCTACTTTCCTGCTCTTCCTCTCTCTCCACTCTGTGCGCTCCACTAACTTTTCTTCTGCTTCAAATGCCACCTATCCCACCTCTACCCAATCGCTTGCTGTCTTTAATCTAAGAATGTTAATACTTTGCTACTTTGAAATATTCAGAGATCTAATATTTCTTTTAGAAAAATCGCTGTTTTAAATGTATTGATGCAACACAGGTTAAGGAAATGTAGAAAAGCAATAGATAACTACTTGAAAATTTTCTAGAGTCTTATACTCCAAGTAATCCATTATTTACCTCTGTTGTATTTCATTTCAGGCTCTTTTCCATGAACGTTTTCATTGGTGTTTTTTTGGAGGGGACATGACTGTAACTACACACACGCACACATATGTACTATATAATATATAGTCAGTTTTGTATTCTGTTGTATTTTTATTTAACACTATAACATAAGCTATTTTCCATGATGATTGTGCTAAAAGAAACATACAGCCCTTGCAGTAGGATTGGAACTGTTCTAGCAACTGTACATATAAAGACTCATTATTCCATATTTTTAAGAGACAGTATTCAATGCATCCACTGATATACCACAATTTGATTAATGCTGCTGGGTGTCTTTGACCTGTCTTTTGATAAAGAGGACATTTGGTACTGCAATGCATTCTAGAGTTTAAGGTCCAACGCTGCAGAAGGGATGCTATCTTTCTGATTCTGTGTCTTCTCTTCCTAGGAACATCCCAGCCTAAGCTACAGAGCTAGCCTAGGACGTGGTCCTGGGGAAGGGCCAGAGGTCTGACCAACCCACTGGGCCCCTCTTCTCTCTGATCCCCAAACCATAAACATTGCCTCCTGGATAGGACTATGACCTACTTGGCTGAGAAGACTGTCTCTGACAGGACAAAGTTCCCAGAGGATCAGTGTCCTTAACAGAACTATTTCTGAGCAAAAGTAGATGTTCTCTGAGCCAGGTTTGGGGATGGGGTGGTGCTGTCAGGACGTATAGAAAATATAATGAGCCAAGGATAAGACTTTATTATGGTGTTCACATGATTTTTTTTCAGCTAATGATTCCCAAAAAGGTTATACCTAATCTTATTTTCCACTTGTTTCTTTAAAAAACCAAAGAAGGTAAATTAATCTGTTCTGGAAAAGATATCACATCTGGTACAGCAACTTCAATTGGAGCTATTACTTGTTTTAGTTTGTGGTGGTCCAATGTCATTTTTCAGGGTCTTTCTTTTATTTTTTGCAGGGAACAAACTGGCGAATTAAACGGAGATACTATAGCGATCCTGATCGTGCATACTTTTGGTCCTTAAAGGCAATAATCTCTGTCATTTTCCCTGGGAGGATGGTTTTAATTCTCTTAAATTGTTTCGTTTACCATCCTGGCTGGGAATTGGTTGAGTTAGTTTCAGCAGCTTCCTCTTGGCCCTTTCCTCTGTCATACCTCTTATACAGCATGCCAAGAAACCAATGTAAGGGTGGTGCCAGCTACCACATATGTCATTCTAATGATAGGTTTTGAGACAGGAGAAATTTCCACCAGATGGATCCATGGCCTTAGTATATGCACTGTGAACCAGAGCTGGACCAGAACTCCATTTGTTAGCTGGTCCCCATTACCTCCATCTTAACGTTGACCATGATGACACTTTGGGTCTTTCAGGATCAATGTGAGCTTGGACCTTATTTCCAACAGTCCTTGAAATCTAAGAGTATTTCCCCTTCTTGAGTTTATGGTTATTGAGTAAATGGTCTTAAGTTCCTTTAGGAAGCGGACAGGGAAATTATATTCTATATATTTGTGGTGATGTTGCAGAGTCTTACTTTTTTAAGACTTGGCTTCTCTTTTAGTCAGTGATTCTAGGTCTGAGTCACTAGATTCAGTCACAGACCTGACTAGGCAGCTGACCTCAGTCTTCTGATTATCTGTCCTTAATTTCTTCTGATTATGTAGATAATGATACCCTTGTTGGCTGCCCATCTATCTTGCTTCTAAGGATGCTGTGCTCTGTTAATCATCTCTAACACTCCACAAAGTTGGCTACCACTCTGAAATTGTCTCTCATTACAGTAGTTTTGCTCACCCACCCTCTGCATGCGTGCACACACATCACATGGATTCTGATGGTTGAGTGCTGCCATCTCTGGCCTGAATTATTTCAAGATCCTATAATCCCCGTTGCTATCAGTGAGGCTACTTCCGTAGCAGAATCTCTTATCATCAGCCCAGGCCTAGAGAAGACACTCACCACAGAACTTCTTAGTGATGTTCGTGCCCCCTCTTCCTAGCACGTTTCTTTTTATTTTTTCAAATAGAATGTCCTTTGGCCCTCCTGTGGTAAAACCACTCTAGCATGCCCACTTTTCTGTAATCCCTTTTTCTGCCATCTGCTTTTAATCTCTTCTTTCTGCCATCTGTCACAACAGTCCTGGCATTTCTACTACATTTAGTGAGAGCCATTTCTTTTTCAAAGCGGGAGAATCCTAACAGGGTGCTGGGTACTTGCCAGTGTGTAAAAATGCTATACTTTGGGAGAATGCTCCAATAATGGACTCTCCTTTAGCTAACTTTGTGTTCCACTCCCCCTGATCCAGAACCCTTAGCCTCTAGTTCTATTTGGGGCAGATGCTGAGTGGGTGGCAGAGGCACATGATGTTTGGCAGAGCAGAGGCCTCTGTGTTGGATTCAAGCAAGGACATGACAACCCTTAATAAGGAGGACTGGGCTACTTCTAAAAGGCTCAGGGGGTCTTGGGAAATCTGGGGATTTAGATGTTCAAATGCATCCAACCAGATGTCTCCATCCAATGTCTCAAGGTTATAATCCTTTCAATCAAGGCCATGACTGAGGTAATACATACAAGATAATCTAGTTTGAGAATTTAACCTTCTTTGGAGTTCTACCATTCCTATGATTAAGTCTTGGACCTGAACCTTAGCTTTTTGTGCCCTTGAGATGCAGGATATACAAAGTTCTTTATATCCTCCTATGGAGGGACTCTGGCTTTCACACTGAGCCTTTATTTGATGAGATATTATCCTCAGCCTTTAATCATCTCTCTCGAAAGCATCCATTTCTTCTAGTAACAGCCATCCAGTTCTGTTATCTTATAATTACCATCTCTCCCATATTTCTCAAGCACCTGATACATCACATCAGCTAGTGCATATCCTTCCACCAGCATACCATCTCAGTTCAGGTTTGGTGAAAGTTTTAAAAATTGCACTGCTATTTTGTGTCAGTGGCTGTTTGTGCTCTCCGTATCCCCTCACTGCTAACCAGATGGTAGATAATTTCACATCAAAACCTCATCTTAGCGTCTTCTTTCTCAGACCACTTTTGGTACCAACTATTGCAGGTTGGGTTCCCAGGAAAGACTCTAAGATGGAGATTTGCATTCAGAAAGTTTACTAGGGCATTACCTCAGAATCAACACCTGAGGGGAAAAGAAGAGAAGCATAATTTGTCGGAGGGAAAACTTGGGCTGCAGTATAAGTACAAAAAGGCATCACTCTACCCCTTGGGGGTCTCCACAGCTAGGATGGGCCCTTCAAAGTTGTCCTAAGTTGAGAAATCAGAGCTTGGCCTTTATACCCCTCATTGACCCTTAAATGGATACAGGCTGCCCCTGGAAAGAGATATGACTTTGGCCTGAGGCAATTCCTGAGGAGGCATAACAATTGAGACCCACTTTCCAAGATTCTGGGAGGAATGAGATTCTGTTTAAGGGGTTCAGGTAATTTGGGCAATACACCTTCTGTGATAGTCCACAGTGAGAAAGAGGAGAGAGATAAAACAAGTTTGTGCACAGGACAGGATTTAAAAACCACCACAGTGATCCCAGATGCTGCGGAAAACATTTTATTACAGATGGTAGAAGGCCTGGTGCTGAAGCTGCGGAATCTAGGGCTGAGAGGGGAAAGTCCGTCCTTCAAAGGATGCCCTGCCCAGATGTCATAAGCTGAATACACTAAAGATCAGACAATAAGGAAAGTTTTTGTAGGGTCCAAATTAGAAGGAGGCTCTGGATCCCACTATCATGGAGATGTCCTTTGCTTCATGTGAGGCAATTTCCTGCTCCCATGCTACCTTAGGACTCCTATAGAAGAATGACAGATCAGTGGAGGAGGAGGGTGGTGCAGGGCAGAGGTGTCATGGTTGAAGACTGATCTGAAAAGAGTTGGAAACTGACAATACATGTTTGTCCTAGGGGAGGAAAAGTGTTATGAAGTGGAACCTAAATTGTATGGCTATAACCCCACTGTTATTTCTATACCCTTAGGGTAGGGAGAGAAGGGAGAGTCAGAATGTCTAGGAACGTTCTTCTTCAGGATATTGTGGCACACTGAACCATCCTCATGGACAGATGATTTTCCTCTGATGGATATGAATTCTTATATTTGAAACAGAGGTCTGAGGAGTTAAAGTTTCCATTCTTTTATTCTTCATTCACATACTCTTACAAGGAGAAATAGCAGTAGCCTTCCAAACATACATCTACTTGGTAGAGAGTGGGAACTTTGTCAATATAGAGGTGATTTAGTCAAGTGGAGGCCATTTAGGAAGATAGTGTAGTGAGAGGATGGATTTTTCTTTGAACAGGTCTTCAAGTAAGAAGCAGGATGGCTCCTGCCCCCAACTCAGCTTTCCTATTTAGTTTTGAACTGCTGCAGGTATGCCAGGATATCCGACTTGACCGCACTGACTGGGGCCCGATGGAACCAGCGCATGACGGGGACTCCATTAGGCCCCACCAGGAACTTTTCAAAATTCCAGCGGATGTCATGGACCTTTATAGGTTCCCAGGATATATGTTTTAATGAGCCTAAAATCTCAGAGGGGTGAGGACAGGAGTGCTGAAGCAGAGAGATGGAAAAAAGAAACAACAACATCATTTCTGTTCCTGGATGATCCAGGCTATTTTCACCCACAGAAAATCCACTCCCTCCCATACCTAGATATCTTAATTTCCTGTGATTCTTAGAAATTTTCTGAATCACCACCATGCCAACTACCAAGAACATTGTAGATATTTTGGCAAAAGTCTATTCCCTCTTCCTGTTTTACCCCATGACCCCATCACAAAATCATGCTGCTATGGGTAAGAAATGTCACCTCTCTTACTTTTAGTTTCCTTTTCTGTAAAGTGAATTGCTTGGATTAGAATGTGGCTTCCCAGATCTTGGGGCTCTGTGAGCCAGTAGCATTTCAAATATATCTTTTGGAACCAACATAGAGTTAGCAAAATTTTGTTTTGTCAAATAAGAAAAAAATTATAAAACATCATCTCTTCATCATTTAATTTAAAAAATATTACTGTGAGAATAAATAATATATAGGTCCTAATCTTAGAATAAAGGGCAGCCCTATAATTCAGTTGAGTTTATGAAATCTTCCTTACACTGTCCTATTTTCTTCAGTTTACTGAGGACATGTAACAGTCTCAAAATGGGCCAACCTTGGCCCACAATCCAGCATTTAGGAACAATGAACTCTGGTGATCTTCAGCGGCCCTTTCAGCTCTGACATTCTCTGTGTCTAAAAGTTGGTGTTTCATAAGAGGCGCTCATTACATTGTATTACACATGTTCTTTTCTGTCTCCCTCTCTAGTGTGAACTCATCAAGAGGTAGGGACTATGTCTTATTCATCTTTATACCCTTATTATTTAGCAAACTGCCTTGTAGATAGCAAGCACTGAGTAAATGTACCTTGAATGAATGAATGTCAATGAGCAAAAGAGGGTGGTCTCAGTAAAAGCTGCCATTCTACACAACTCTCTCCACCACACTAAGCTAGAGCCCCATAGATACTAACAGGTTAAACCCCAATCCCTATACTGATCTGGAAGTCTTTCCAAAGAGTCCAATCACACCTCCAGGCATGAGCCCATTTCTACCACACCAACTCTATGGTAGGAATATTAGAGAAGAACAGGCTTGTCAGTAATTCACTTACCTTCAAGAAGGTGAAGACTTTCTGTTCTTTTTCCCCATTCACATCTCCTTTCTCAAAAAGCTGGAAATTAGGTACATATCCTCCCCCTGGACGGACATACCTGCAATGAACCATAATGTTCCCAGGAAGCTCCAGAATGTGAGAGAAATTTATGATGGGACACCAGGATATGAGGTCATGGGAAAGAGCAGAAAGAGGTGGAGGTATAGTAGACAGGACCGGGAAGGAAAAATAAGGCCTTTTTTACTTTGAGATCCCTGATTCACTTTATTTTTCTCTATTCCACAACATGTCCCTGTGCCCAACACTGTTTCTGTACCAGCTATTTCTGTGCTCCTGCTCCTCCATGGTGCATCCAGGTCTCACTACCAAGGGAGGAAGAGAGAGTCTCTGGACACTGCCAGACTCATTCAGCGTAGGCCAAAGTTAAAATCAGTGTGCAGATGCCACTGAGCCTATTAATCCACCACCCACCCAGAACACCCCCTATATGGAAGGGCCTCTGGAGACTAAGGAAAGGTAGATAAGGGCCTTCTATAGGGTTTCAAGCAGGTACTTACTTCAGCCCTGGAAGGATCTCCGAGTTCTCTCCTGGTTCTTGCTTTCCAAATTGGTTACAGGGGAAACCCAACACAACTAAGCCAAAGGACTTCAGCTCCTCCTGAAGTGTATTCAGTTCTATGGATAGAGAAGGGACAATATGGTAGCCTGGCTAGAGACCCTGCTTTGTGTAGAGAAAATCCCTGGAGGTACTCATTTTACAGAGGAGGAAACAGGCTCAGAGAAGGAAAAATCTCTAGATCAGAAAGACTATTAACGGCAGGGCTGAAGTTAGATACCGGATCTCCAGACGCACATTCAAAAGCCTTTCATTACCACGCAGTATTTCACAAATCTACAGCACATTGGAATCAGTGGGGGCCCTTCCTTAAAAATGAGGATGCCCAGGTCCTATTCCAGAAAATTTTCTGATTACATGCCTCTGAGATGGGGCCCAGTCATCTTTATTATTCAAAAGCTCATCAGGTCACTGTTGGTGGGATTGTAGAATGGTGTGACTGCTATGGAAAATAATATGGAGGTTTCCCAAAAAATCAAGAATAGAACTACCATAGATCCAGTGGTCCCATTTCTATGTGTATATGGAAAAGAATTGAAAGCAGTTTCTCAAAGAGATACTTAACACATCCATGTTCATAGCAGCACTATTCATAATAGCGAAGAAGTGGAAGCAACTCAAATGTCCATTGATGGATAAACAAAATGTGGCATATACATACAATGGAATATCATTCAGCTTTAAAAAGGAAGGAAATTCTGTCACGTGCTGCCAAATGGATGAACCTTGAAGACATTATACTAAGTGAAATAAACTAGTCATAAAAAGACAAATACCGTATGATTCTATTTACATGCAGTATATAAAGTAGTCAGATTTATAGAAACAGAAAGTAGAATGGTGATTACCAGTGGCTGGGGGCAAGAGGAAAAGGGGAGCTGTTATTTAATAGGTATAGAGTTTCAGTTTTGCAAGATGAAAAAGTTCTGGAGATTCGTTTCAGAACAATGTGAATATATGTAACACTACTGAATGTTACACTTACAAATGATTAAAATGGTAAATTTTAGGTTATGCCTTTTTTTAACCACAATTTTAAAAAAAAGTTCACTATGTGATTTTTAAACAAAGCTGATGTTAGGTTTGAACATCACTGCTCATGAGTTTGCCTTCTCTGAGTGGTTAACTGAATCTTTTTTAAAGGAAAGGACAGAACACGAACAGTGGGCTTCTCTCCTCTGTACAGACTGGTTCAGCCTGGGTGGAGTGGGAGTAAACCTGATAGGGACAAAGAGAACCAGAGAAATTCAAAGTCAAGCTTCCTGGTGTTCTTCAACAATCCTTAGGATGTTAAAGGTGCCTACCTAAAAATCCTCATTGATATGCCAAAACACAAGCTTCCAATTGCATTCTTCCACTGTTTTCTACAAGTTTTCTAATTTTTCTGCTGAGACTTTTATAATCATCTTCTTTGTTAACCCTTTCTGGACTGAATGCCTTCAGTACCCTGACAAATCCTAGCCAGTCCCATTCAGATTCTGGTGAGCCAACTAGTCAACTGGTATCTCCTCTTAGTCCCTTTTCTCTTTTTTTTTCTTTATTTTTCTATTTTTATTTTTTTTTACAAAATAGAGATTGCTTTCCTGTTTCCACATGGTTGCTCAGTACCTCTCCCCATATCCTTCCCTCTTGTCTTCAGTCACTGTAGATAATCACTTCCCCTTGGAAAGAGACAACAAAGGAGGAAACTTGTCTTCCAGTCCTTGAGCAACAACGCTTTGGTTTCCTCACCTGTTTTGTACAGAGATGGAACTCAATAGATTGATTTTTAAAGTCCCTAAAAGAGAATTATGGTCCAGTAGAATATTATTCAATCTTAAAAAAGGAATGAGAAAATGATCTGAACTCTAAAGTACTTTATTAATTTTAAAAAGCAAAGTGGCAAATAGTATTTATAGTATGTTATCAACAGGGGGAAATGCAGAAAAAAGAATCTATCTATATACCTGGCAAATATGATAATATTGGTCATCTGAAGGGAGGGGAAGGAGATGGAAAGACTATGCACTCTAAACTTTTTTATCCATTTAATTTGTGAGCCTTGTGAACATATTACCTATTCAAAACATAACATAATCAAAAACAAAAACGTGAAGTTCTTATTAGTTCAAATATAAGAAATGCATCTGTTTCTGGTAAAATTCATCCTGCTCATCATTCATTGGCTTTTAAACCACACAGCCTAAGATACGAGAAAGATAAAATTCTTCCCTGAATAATGTACAAAGAGGGAGAAAATTATACCTAAAGGAGGGGTTGAGGTTGGAGAGGGAGTATTTGCCTCTATTATTGCCTCCTCTACCAGCCTCACTAGAGTCAAATGCAGCTCCAGCTATAAAATCCCTCTCCCCCTTTTTCCTTTCTTTGTAAGTGACCTGGAAAAGTCTCAAAAACAGTGATACTGTCTCCTGTATTTACCAAGGAGACTTGAATCCTCAGAGAGGCTCCTAGTTCTCAGATATATATTGATTCTCCTAGAAATCTCAGTTGCAAAGCAGAGGCAAGACATACAGAGGGGTTAGCAAACTGTCTCTGTAGAAGTGCAGATAGTAAATATTTCAGACTTTATGAGCCAGATGTTGCTGTTTCAACTATTCATACAACTACTCAACTCAAGGAGAGCGTACAATCAGGCACAGATAGTATGTAAACAAATGGGCATAGCTATGTTCCAATAAAACTTCATTTACAGTAACAGGCTGGCCAGATTTGGCCTGTGGGCCATAGTTTGCTGACTCCTGATATGGGAGAATGAAGTCACCTGAATATGAGTATTTATTCTGATACATAATTAGAATTATATTTTAATTCTAATCATAATTTAAATCATAATTTAAAATATAATGAGCTGGAAAATGCAGTCCCACAGAGACTTGGCTATGAACTCTTACCAGGATATTGAGCCGTCAGACCACAATAGGTGGCCACATTGACAAAAAGGACATGCTTGCCCGCATACCGCTTGAACTGAATGTGTTCCCTTCCTTTAAGAGTGATGGCGTCATATTCATAGATGGTGCCTTTCACATCTTTGTAGCAATCCGTCTGGAAGATTTAAAAAATGATAATATTAATAACAACAATGCCTAACATCTATGTAATCTTTCAAAGCACTTAAAGTATCATATATGTATTAACTAAGACCAGAAAACAAACAAGAGTTCTGAGGTATCAACGACAAGACTGAAACTAGGTCTTGTGACTTGAAAGCCAATGATTTTTTGAGCAACAAGTAGTCAAGTCACTCTCTCTATTATCCTGGAAGAGGCAGGATACCAGGAAATACTTGGAAGAATGGAAAAGAGCAGAGATTCATGAGCTAGGATGGGAGGATCTGGAAGTAAGTGGAGCCAAAGAGAAAAGCACAATGCCTTTCATGCTTCTGTGAAAATGAGGCTATTCCTTGCCTCTGGACTGAAGGTATCTTACTTGGACTCTCTCAGTGAAGGGAAGGTTTTAAATTGCTTAAGTATTTCAGGATAGCCTAGTTACTTCTTTAACTTTCCCTAGGTCTCCTGACTTCTTATTCCACCCTTCAGCACGGCAGAGCAGAAAGAGCTCTGGCCTGGGAATCAGAAGCCTGCTCTATTATTAAATTCCTTTGTGAACTTGGGCAATTCTCATCCTTGGCCATCAGTTTCCCCATCGGCAAAATGAAGATCTTCTAGATTTCTGTCAGATCCTCGAAGGGCCTTCCAGATTTAACATTCTAGAATCTAATATTATCCCCACCTTGAATAGTTTTCTCTCTCATGTCACTCTCTTACTCATAAGAGTCTTAATAAGCCAATACTGTGAAACTCTAACTTTTTGTTTCTCCCAAGAAAGGAGATGGAGAACTCAGTAGTCCATCTGAAAGTAGGTCACTAAAATCTGTCTGGCAGCATCCAACTTATTGCACACCCACCTCCTCACCCCATTGTGCTCTAGATATCTAATACTTGCCTTCATCATCAGCTCCGTCTATCCTATTCCTTCTCAAATCTCCTGATCATATTTGCACAGAGTTCTACATAACAGAAATAATTTCCACATAACAGAAATAAGTTCTACACGAAATTCTTGTTGCTTGTCTTAGGTTACATTCCTCTATAAAGCAGATGTCATCTTACTCCTCCTCTGTCTCTATCCATGCAGGGTCAGTGCAGTACCCAAAGTGTACTGACTCCACAGTACTCGCCAGGACATCCTGATCCCTTTCCCTATATTGGGGAAGCCACTACAAATTGCTCCTGGAATACCGAGAGTATAAAATAGGAAGTATTAAAGAGAATCTACGAAACCACATGTCAGTGAGAAAAAGACAGAGAGCAAAGGAGGGTAGGATCTAATAAGGAAGGTCCAGACTTAAACTAGGATCAGACTAGACTCCCTGGAAATGCAATGGACTAGAAAGGATTTTAGCCAAACACCATCCGCCTCCACCTAAAGAAGGAGTGATGGAACACAAAACAAAATCAAACTTTTTCAACCTTGTAAGCCCACTGATTCTATCACTAGCACACCATGTTGTAGCTACCCAGTCCCTACTCTTGGAGAGAAAGGTATTTTCTCTACGCAGTCTTTTGCACTTTTTCCTAAATGCATAAACACATTTCCATGCACCAGCAAAACTGAGATAGGGTCTCCACATCCAATTAGGCAGCACTGGGTAACATGAAAACCGTATTAACTCTCAAAAATAGAAAGTCATCCAGGAGATTCTCTAGTCAATGTAAGAAAGGGAGGAAGATCTTACTCAAGCTGCCTTTTATAGAACACATTATATGTGTAATAGTTATTGCTTACTCACCCATAAGGCAGATAAATGTTACCCACAAATTTATAATAAGAGAGTAGAGGCTAACAGAGGTGAAGTGACTTGTCCAAGCCCAAAAGTGGTAACCCACCATGTGAATGCGAGTTTGCTTGCTCCTAACTTCATGATTCCTTTTTACCTCCAAGTCATGTAGTTCATTGCTATCCTTCCCCAGACTGTCCCTCCCACTACCATACACACATGTTTTACCAACAAGGCAACTGAGCCATGAATTGAGAATAGAACTGAGGCCAGAATCCAAGACTCCTGATTCCAAATCCAGTTGTTTTAGGCCTCTGTTTATCTTTTCCATGTGTTTTATATTTCTCTGATAACTCTCTGACTTTATCCATCCCTAAAATTTCCACATCAGTTCTTCCCTTCTCTTCGTGGGTTTCCTGCTGAGCTGCATCTGAGATGACGCAGCTCAGCCTCTCCTTCAAACCCTGGTCTCCACTCACTCTGATGCCCACCACCGTCCCATGCCTCAGACCCAGCTCTGAGGCAGATACTGATGTGGCTGGAGGGGTATCTTGGCAACCTCCTCTACCTAGAGAAGGAGGGGAGAAAGGACCACAATAAGGAGACTCATTATTCTCTACCCATATTCAACTCAAGGAACATCCGTTTATAGGAGTGAACAAGATTCAAGGAGAAGAAAAGAAAGGCTTAGGGGAACTGCAAGGAGGAGGAAAGCAGAGGTCGAGTCTTACAAGAAGGACTGGAGGAAGAGATCATGGAGCAGGACAGAAGAGTAACTCCATGTTTGCACTGTGCCCCCCCCATCTCTGGAGGTCACTCACCTTCATCTTCTCTGGCTTGGGATCTGTCTGCACAAAGCCAGCTAGGAAAAGGGGGAAGAGATAGGAGGCCCTTAACTGTGCAGTCATGACTAGTGTTTGTAGGCTGCTAGTCTGAAAGTCTGAGGTCCTTGTGCACCTCGACAGCCTTTTGATACCCTGGCAGGAACTAGCCTAAGACCGCTCAGGCCAACAGCAGGGTGGCAAGGATTTCTGAGGCATGAGTAGGGCACAAGGAGGTAGAATTCAAACCACATCCTCACCTACACACACCCCCATGAGCACTCAGCGCTCACCAGTGCGATGAGGATCTGAGACTCATAAATTCTGGCAGAATTAGGAAAAGGTGATGGCAAGTCCTCCATGGTCTTGAAGACTATTGTTTATTTTTACTGAGTGGATAGGAGTGTCTAGATGCAGACACAGCCTCCCAGACATTGCAGTAAATTCACTGCAAAAGGGATGACATAGATATTTCAAATGTTATTTCTAATATTATTATTTGAGCTTAAAAAAATCAAAGGATGGACCACCTAAGATCTCTCTAAGAGAGTTGGAAGGAAGCTATCCCTGAGGGAGAAAAATATTCACAATATATGTGAAGGAGACACATTAATATGTTCATTATGCTTACAAATGCTTTCAAGTACTTATAAATCAATAGGAAAAACCAACCACCCCAACAGAAAAATGGGCACCAGACAGTAAACCAAATGGCATCTGTGGTAGGATAAAATGTTCTTCCTCATCAATAATCTAAGAGGTAACAAGAGATGCATTCTGCATTTATCAGATTGGCCACAGATAAAAGGAATGGTGGTACCCAGCCTGGGAATCAGTCTGGTATACGAGGTTCTTACACACTAGGTGGGGGAGGGGGACTACTAACAGCTGCCAATTTTCTGGAGGATAATCCACCATTCTGGATGCAGAGCTTTTTTTAAAAGTAAAAAACTTTTTTTTAACTTTTTATTTTGAAATAATTATAAATTTATAGGAAGTTGCAACTCCTTTTAATCTCCTGGAAGACCCAGGGCCAAGAAGGATAATGGAAATGAGACACAAGATCCTCCAAAAATAAAAGTGCTTTACCTCTCAACCAGCATAAGAACCCCCATCCACTCAGCAGCGGTTTTCTACAACTGCTCAATAGTCTCAGCTAATATTTTGGAATAGATGAGTTGATGATGCAGATCTAGAGCCCTTGGAATTGCTGGATTTCTCACATAAATAACATATTTAATCCACACCAACCTCATGGGAGGCTGAAAAAGACCTTCCTCCCTCTTGTCTACAGTACAGTTTCACTTTTTGGACCTCAAGCGCTAAGGTTTAAGTTAATCATACTCCTAAGTTCATGATCATTTGTCCTTGAAAGCTCTCTCTTGTTTTATTTATTCTTCATACCCAAACTCCATTGATTTTTGACCCCAAACTCCATTCTCCTTCCTCTCTCCTCATAGGTGTAATACAGGTAATATGCATATTGTTTGTACTCTTGAAAAACTGTATATTTCTCATCAGATTATTATCTCCTTGAAGTTTAAAAAATTACTCATTTTTTTTCCGTTTGAACCCCAGATTCAAAAGGTTGAGTTAATCAAACTCCTAAATTTATGGCACTTTATCATCGTTAGGCTGGGTGACGATTCTCATATTAATTGTTAAATTTTTTGTCCCAATCCACTCCCATTTTCCTACCTCTCAGAGAAGAGGAGCGGCAAGGAAACAGTTATTAGAGACTAGAAAGTTGGCAACATTTGTTCTGTTGCAACAAAACATTTGGTAAAACTGTTGCCTTATGATTTAGAAGGCAAAATGACTAAAACAAAGGCGGATGTTAGTGTGGGTTGACTGTTCTAATGCTTCGGAATTACAAGAAAGGGGTGAGTTCAGCAGCTAGTGAGGCTCTAATGAGATAACTAACAAAGAGATGTTGGAAAGTATTTGGATTAGTCCAAGAGGCTTGAGTTTGTTTCCCTTTACCACTCTTCCCACACTCCTCTCCCTCCTCCCATAGGTTTGCATTTCCAGCTCAGCTTTACTAATGCCCATGTTTACTGAAATGATAAATTCTTCCTCTCTAGTTCTAAGTTCCTTTCCAACCAGCCCTCTCCACCAGCCCTGTCCTTTCCGGGTTCACACAGAAAGCTGCCTCCATCTCCTTAAAACTGACGTCTGAGTGGGGTTTAATTTTCCCTGCTGGTGGAGTCAGGGCATTTGGGAGCTCTCTTGGGAAACAGAAGCTTTTTGTTATCCCAGATTTCTTATCTCTTCTCAGAGGCCTCTAATCCAGGGGGAGGAGCTCAAAACAATGATGTCTGACCCAGCCACAAAGCTCCCAAAGCCTTTCAGGGCAGCTGTACATGTTTCCTGCTTGGTGGCATCTGCTCGTCAGCAGATGCTTTTGCTCCTGCCCTCCTCCTGTCTATAGCAGTTCAAAGAACTGTGGAGATTAAAATATCAGGCCTCAAAAATAATGTACTTCAATTCCTTCATCCTTTCCTAGCTGTGTGACTGGGCAAGTTACCTTCTGTACCTCTGGTCCTTATTTGTAAAATTGGGAGAATAATAATATGAACTTCACAGGGCTAATTTTAAAAATAAAGGAGACAATTCATTTAAACTCTTAGCACTGGACCTGGCCCGAGGTAAACACCCATTGTCAATTCAACAGATGAAGAAACTGATGCTCAAATAGAAAAACTGATTTACCAAAAGTCATATGTTTGGTGATGGTAGAATTACATACTGTTCCACATTTACTGTTGTGAATTCCTTACTTTCTTAGCCACTTTATATTTGCTCATCACATAATAACTAACTCCTGGAGTAGAGGAGAAACTTTCATCATAAACTCCACCTCAATGGTCAGATCAAGTGACCTAAAATCTCTGCCTTCCCAAGTCTCTGTGTCCCACTGTTTTAGTTTCCCTGGAGGCAAGAACTCTGTCCACAATAAGAGAAGGTTTAGGGACTCAGGCTCAGGTAGGGGCCACAGGGGGGCACTTCCTATTGTGGTCTATCTGGTTATATCACATAACTGCTGCCTCCTCTTCACACCTTCCACCAGAGCCACATCAAATTCCTATCGTTTCCTTTCTGGCATGCTAAAATAATCTTCTACTTGTCTTCTCTCTTCCAGGCTCTTCCTCTTCAATGCTTTTTTTGCCATCAGCCTGCTGCCACTGGAACCTCTAACCACTTGTCTGGTGATGTCCCTCCATGACAAAGAGCCAATGAGGCTAACCAATTTATTAGAGCATCAAATTCAGAATCTCCAGTGTGATATCCAAATCTCTCCTGATGTGATCTCAACTTCCTTCCCAGTTTTCACTCCCAGTAGCTCCTCCTGTGAATCTCATACTTCAAACTAAATTCTTTCCATTCACCAAAACACACTTTTTTGGATTCTTGATCTTGGAGGTCAATTATGCTGAGTGCTTTGGAATTCCACCTCCCCCGCTCCAAATTATCTATATATCTATTCCCACTGAAAGAACAGAGAATGCTATTTTATGGAATTTTACCAAACAAGATTTTAGGTGGAAATGTTTGTAATCTAAGCCATAGATTAAGGCTGAAAACCAGTCCAGGCCTAAATTGAACCATAAAGTCTGTCACTTCCTGACTTTAAAAATCCTACAATTACAAATAGTCCATGATCTTAGGTAGATCAGGTGGCAAAAATCAATATGTCTCAACCACCGCCTATTTTTTCCAGTCAGACTCCAATTTTTCCTTGAGGTAGAATTCTTATGAGGATAATTTTCTTGCCTAAGGTCACACAGCTACTGAGTGGCAGTTTAGAGACTGAAATAAAGCCTTTCAGCCTCCCTGTGCTAGTCTTTATTGATGACTTAATCCTGCCTAAAAATCAACACCAAGTTTCTTGTTTTTAATTCTTTTGGTCATAAAGGAGACAGGTGCAATGCTTGCTGAGATACAGTCCACCTCTTCATCCCAGATTTGAACTACTCAAATCTGACTTAGAGATTTTTCTCCACCATTTTCTTTTACTTGAATAGTTTCCCTAAATTAGACAACCTCCTTTGGCATCTAGGATCCCCATTCAGGAATCCAGGATTTTCCCTACTCTGGGTTGCAAGTGTGAAGCATAAGATCTACTCCTAAGTCTGCCATTTTAAAGTAATATCACTTATGTTTACATAGAATTTGTAGGTCACAAATCTCCTTCGCATCAATGATTTCATTTAGCCTTCACAGTCAGCCAGTTACATAGGTGAAACAGGCATTATTTGCTCAAATTTGCAATGGAAAAGGGAGGTTCAGAAAGGCGATGTGACTTGGGAGGTCTCATAGTAGTGTAGACCTAGACCATAAACTTGAGTTTTTATTTCAAATCTTCTTGTCTCTCCACTCTAGGCTCATTCCCCATAAAATTATATTTGGAAATGGAGGAAAGTTCTAGAAAACCACTGTCCTTTTGCATTTAATTTTCATCTTCATGTGTTCTTCACCTTTTAACATCCTTCCCCAAACATGATGAGACTTGGTGCTCACCTCTTGTCTAGGGTGACTGTGGCCCTGAGCCCTCACTGGGCATCCGGCCCTGATACACAGACTTTCTGAAGGGTTTGCCACTAATGCCAAGCTTTCCTCCCCCAACCTGCTCCAGGAAGAACACTGCTTCTTGGACGTTGTGGTGGGGAGGCGTGAGAGGAAGGATGTGTACTCCCCTAGGCAGTATTCTTGTCTATTACTCCTATCTTAATGGGCCGGGGGAGGGTGTGGGAGAGAGAGCTCTGTGTCCATGCACAACCACAGGAATTTGCTTAACCCACACCATTCAAAACCAGATGCCCCCCCATCTGGAAATTCTCCAGTCTGTGACTCAGGCTCTTGCTGCTTCCCAGAAAAAATTAATTATGCCCTATGTCACCAACACACACGGCAAGCCATCACCAACGACTCAATACAACTGTGGGATATTGGGAAAATACCCCTATGGGCCTCAGTTTACCCATTTATAAAAAGAGGGAGTTGGAACAGAAAATCACCAAAGTCCATTCTAAGGCTGACATTCTTTGTTTATTTTCTTAGCTTTTGAGAGATTCTGATGACCTTTGAA